CGGAAGCTTGGGCTTATATGCAACTCGCTGAATTGACTTCTGCGAGCAACTATAAGGTGCTGGTTCGCTAACGGATTAATTTAACCTTCTACTACAGTGACTATATCTGTAAGCAATACAGGCAACCCTTAGGCGCATCCTTCATCTTATTGTAGGCATCATAAAAAAACGTCAAGCTTCTACTCCTCTAGCTTTGCAGCATTACTATCGTACTATTATTATTATTATTATTATTATTATTATTATTATTATCGTTATTGTCATTATTATTACTTTCAACCGATAAGGGAATTTTGGGCATATATCGCCCGCTACACACCAAAAGTTGATTACAGCTGTATAATTACATTCAATGGCTTTGGCTTTCTACAGCCTCCTCCAACTAAGATGACCTTTCAGGGATCTAGGGACATTCTTATTAAGAAGTTAGTTTAAAGTTCGTCGCAAAAACACACTCCAGCTATACTGACTGATACTTCATTTTGTCCCACATGTTTGCAGAAATGAGCGAGGCAGGCCTACATGAATGATTGCATCCTTGAAGTGTTGGTGCACAACAAACTATCAGGAAAATATTTTAGTGAACGAATCAATTGACGTTTCGACTGATATCCTTTTCTTTCGTAGGACGAAATGCTCGGTGCGCGTACTCAATATCCAAGCTGGCTTCCTCACGGGGTTACCTTCAGAGGTTGGGAGATGCACTTACCTCTTCAAGTAGAAACGTTGCGACCCGGTCAGACAACCCCAGTCACCGTCGGTTTAGCCGGACCTGGAACTGCTTCGAATCCTGGATTTTCACCGTTAGACAGTTCTTCTGTTATAACCAAGCAGTCGGGGACTGTGCGACCTGTCTCACTTCTTGTGCATTCGAACGAAATGCTCGGTTCAGTGCGTGAGCGTGCAAATCTGGTGGCCACGGCCATTCTGTTTGCCAATCGATCCGGCACCGATTTAGGTATTGGTGAAATGACTCAAGAGACTTCAAACTGGAAAGCATCTGCACTTTACATTGGTCCCGTCCCGATTTCACGGGATGCACTTAATAGCTGGTCGTCTATAAATTCTGGTTCAGCTCAACCCTCAGCTGCAGAACCAACCGGATCCAGTACGGATAACAAGAACGGAGGAACGACTGAAAGACGGTGCTCGAAATGCATAATAGAGACGGTTGTCAACCGGAAGGCCGTTGGGGAATTGGGATTTCAGGTAACGTTTGAATACCCTTAGACGCACATGCACTTCAGTCATCTTAGACCGACCGTGGGATCCTGCAATGTCTTGGTCTCTTTAGTAACCATACGGATCTGCGGATACAGTATTCTCTATGGTGGTGGTTTGCAGGTTGCGATTTTATTTGTAAATACCGAAAGTTATCGAAATAGGAAAAGGAGCTTTGCTCAAGCGAAGTAACACTGAAGCGAAAGATTGGGTAGCAGTTTGTTTCCGGATTAATCGTAATTCCTTATTGTCACCATACTGCTTTTACTCGCTTTCTGAGTTCAACTCTCGATTCTGATAGTCTAATTTATGGTAATGACTATTTGTATGTGCACATTCAAACCGTCATAGGAACTTGTTGAAGAGTAACTATGGATACTATAATTCCTTGAATCCGTGGATGCCAGCCACTTCTTAATGAATGCATTCGGATTGTCCGGTTTATCTGCAGTAATCTTCTTACACAACTCCATTTGGCAACGTAACTTTGGTGCATATAATCCCACGTTTTTTTTCTTGACAGAACGGTCGCCTCTTAACTGTTCGCTTGATCACTGGTCTGGATGGTCGGGCTGGTAGTCGGGCTGGTCGACTGAGTGCAGGACCTATGGGGGCTTCCTCTCTTACACTGTCGTACTGTTCTTCAGGACCCAGTGGCGTATCACTTTCTGCAGCGAATGCTTCAGAGTCGGATTTAGTTGCTCAGGCCACGGTTGTTCTGAATAAAGCAGACGCAAATACTTCGGCAAGTCGGCCGATGCACAGTGCCACAGATATGCCTTCTCTCTATGGTTCTGGGAGTAAAAAGCAAGCTCATGCACAGGAAGAGGGACTGTCGCAATCGCATACCTCATCCCAAAGTAGTACTCAGCTCCTCCGAGTCATTTCACTTGTCAGCTTAAGCTCCCTTCACAGCACAGGTAATCTGACTGCGATTTCTACCACCGACTTGTCAGTAAACCCACCCACCGTGCCCATATCTACTTCAACCCACACTTTACCCAGTTTATGTATGGGAGAAGACGCCACTGTCTACGACCTGCTGCTGGATTTAGCTGAATCGGAACTTGCTCCACCATCAAGTGCCCCTGAGGAGATAAAACGTTCCCGAAACGTAATCGCTGCCGCAACAATGGGGGTTGAATTAGCCCCATCTTTCAGCCTTATTCACCCCATTCGTCTTCTATTGGCGGTCCTCCCTACCTATCGTCCGACGTCCCTGTCACGTTCCCACAGCCATCTACAACAGAGCTTATTTTGCACCCCTACCAATTTGCTCAAATCTACTCCGTACCGCACGTTATATAAATTACAGGTAACTACACCCTTGTTAATCTTCCCTTACACTGAACATTAATTTTACGTTTTGGATCCCGGAGCCAGGGGAGATTTACGGTGCATCCACACATATCAGTGTATCTTTCGTTTCGTGCTTGAGCAGAGCTAAATATCGGCCTAAGGAAGTGAGGTTGGTACATGATGCTTCTTCAGTTGATATCACTTGGTGTGAAAAAAAGTTTTCAAGTAATCGAAGCCACATAATCACAGTAATGGACCTGGGCACATGAACATCGAGAGAAGCGTACATAAGTCGAAAGCTGCTGTCAGTTAAGATCGGCTTGTGGCTACTTCAGGATTATTGAAGTTTCCTGTTTATGCAGAAAACTCACGGGAATGACTAAAAGCGTCCTCTTGTGAGGAGACGTCTTTTCCGGACTGTGTGTGTGCGGAAAAAAAACCCTGCCTTTTTGTCTTCAACACTGATCCTTTCTGGAGCTTATTCACTTCACACGAACTAATTCCACTCAAACTATACAAGTGTGAAAATTTTCGTGCATCGGATGTAATTGTGATGATCAGATACCGGTCGAGTTGGTTCACTTCTTTACTGTCGATATTTCTAAGCTGGTGGGTTTATAAGAACCCACAGCACACGGTACTGGGAATTTATGAACCTTTATCAAACCGTCTGGATGCCTTGGTCATAGCAAGATAGGAAATCGTCCCCCACCTTTCCTGCTATCACATCAATATCTGCGTAGCATTCATGTGGTTTTGAAAAACGTCATCATTATCGTCATCGGCAGCATGACATCAGTGTCCAACATATGCTTCGCTGCCCTATGACCATGATTTATTTGAAAGCCTTTTTCTTCTAAAAAAAAAACGAACAAACGTGGCCAGGGAAGGAAATTGATGGTAGCCTACCACAATTATTCCGAAGTGCGTACACCTCCAGACACTCATTTGAGGAATCTAGATAGAAACTGACAGCAAGAACTCCACTCATATCGTGCGGCGTCTTTGACCAAGCGCAGTGAGAATCACGCGGTTCACATCGTGAAAGGCGTGATAAACTTCGGGGATATGTTGACTAGTCCTTTTTGGATTTTCTAATTGTTTTATCCGATTCATCCAACCCCGGCGTAGAAGTGGTATAGTACATTTTTCAATGAATTCACTTTTTACGTGAATGAGACTTTTATGTGAATCCAGTTTTACTTTCGCTTCAAATGTTCCTATACAAATGTTAGCTTTTTTAAGATCTAGATCGGTCGAAGCAGTTTTATCGCCAGAATGAGAACCAGTAAACTAATTCCCAACGTCTGTCATTGAGCTTTTACTAATCACCACGAGCCTATTCGTCTACTCAGGCCCATTTACTTTTTCCACCTTTCGCATGCTATTGAATATGCAGCGGATCTGGGTCCCTTTTTTCGATAACGCTAGGAATTCATCGAGTCTAGGTTCACGGCTGCTGTACAGCATAGATTTTTCTGATCCTCTCTACACTTGTTTATTAATCAAGCAACCAGAAAAAAGCCATCCCATGACAACCGTTGTTGTCAAGTTTAGCGACATGAGGTTTTTCATAGGTGTTCGAAATGGTTGAATATATACTTTTATCTAGGCTAAGGCTGGTTGCATAGCATATTTTTCGACATGTTTCCTGTTATTCTGAATCTTTACGCTGCCCACTACTCCAGACACTTGAGGAATCTAGATAGAAACTGACAGCAAGAACTCCACTCATATCGTGCGGCGTCTTTGACCAAGCGCAGTGAGAATCACGCGGTTCACATCGTGAAAGGCGTGATAAACTTCGGGGATATGTTGACTAGTCCTTTTTGGATTTTCTAATTGTTTTATCCGATTCATCCAACCCCGGCGTAGAAGTGGTATAGTACATTTTTCAATGAATTCACTTTTTACGTGAATGAGACTTTTATGTGAATCCAGTTTTACTTTCGCTTCAAATGTTCCTATACAAATGTTAGCTTTTTTAAGATCTAGATCGGTCGAAGCAGTTTTATCGCCAGAATGAGAACCAGTAAACTAATTCCCAACGTCTGTCATTGAGCTTTTACTAATCACCACGAGCCTATTCGTCTACTCAGGCCCATTTACTTTTTCCACCTTTCGCATGCTATTGAATATGCAGCGGATCTGGGTCCCTTTTTTCGATAACGCTAGGAATTCATCGAGTCTAGGTTCACGGCTGCTGTACAGCATAGATTTTTCTGATCCTCTCTACACTTGTTTATTAATCAAGCAACCAGAAAAAAGCCATCCCATGACAACCGTTGTTGTCAAGTTTAGCGACATGAGGTTTTTCATAGGTGTTCGAAATGGTTGAATATATACTTTTATCTAGGCTAAGGCTGGTTGCATAGCATATTTTTCGACATGTTTCCTGTTATTCTGAATCTTTACGCTGCCCACTACCTACTTTCGTCTATCCAGAGTCATTCGCACAAATTTGCACAACTGCTTAATCGTGTTTTTTCTTCCAACAGGTACTTAGTGCAGCTGTGATGCCAGTGAATAGCACTCCATGGTGGGATGTTTCCCCTGGCTGCCTACTTTCACCCCCAACACAACTGTATTTCACAACCAATGTCTTTCCAAACACATCCGCAGCTTCCACCTACCCATCCCTCGGAAGCATCTCTTCCCACCTTCGGCGCAACCAGCCGCACACGCACTCGCCATCAGCCAGTGCCAATGCTCATCAGCCAGTCAATCTTTTATCGTCAAATAGTTCGGACCCAAAGTGGTTTTTCTCTGGAGATATGCTCACTACTGATTCAACACACAGATTAAGCTCGACTTCCGCCCCAGCGTCACCAGTGCACCGCCGTCGAAGAAACTACAGGCTCTTCGGCCACAGTGAATTTATCGGAAAGAGCGATAAAATCCGTCCTTCGTTAGCGGAGCAGGAACCATTCAACACCAAACTAGGTAATCGAAACCTACCATTTTCTTCATATTTTTCTATCTCCTTTCATGCAGGTGTTCACATTCGGCTTTTTCACAGCGCAATCTTCACGTTGTGTTCACACAACACAATTGTGTGGACGGCATCGAATTCTTAGTTGGCGACCATCCTTCCGCACAGCTCGCTCTCACTAGAATGCAGAAAAGATCCCTAGTTTTGTAATGATTTCGAATTTTTTGAAGCCATTTGTGTCCGTTTGAAAGTTCATTTGGCGAATTCGACCTCGTATACCAGCTTACCTATTTTGGTACTGACAGTTAATGCGCACAGTGTCAAGGTCCCGGCAGTATGATCCAGATTACAATATATTTAGTGTCCGAAACTAATTCCATTCGAGCTACCTGGGCATTGTATACAAAGCTGTAAAAACAATCACTGGTTCTGAAACTTCGCTTCCTGTTTTTTCACCTCCCTAACCTACACCAAGCATTCGTTTCCGGTTTCTTCCTTGTTTAGCAGTCATTAGCTACCTGAATCATATCACAGCGAAATACTACGCGAGTGAGTACTCGGTGATGAACCGGAATAGTTTTCATTAAAGGCTCACAGCTTTTTTTAAATTAACTTCCCACCTTTCTCATTTTATTTCACCAGGACGTTTTCTTCCCATGGTTTTATGGTATTAGGGCGTCAGTGATCCCTACTTCTGCTGATGAGAGGAATCTGGAAAATACGTGTTAGTTTACGGTCTTGGGGTGGCATACTACTTTGATTAGGCAACTGATAATTCTGCCATACCTATTATAAAAATCCAATTTGTGATTGTCTATGTTTGCCAGTCAAGTGGTTACTCGCCATCAGCTATTTGACTACTAGTATGTCTAGATTCACCAGTTTTCCCAACTTCACTTTTTTATCGTTCTAAATTATCTCATCTGTTTGATCGACTGACAACATCCTACGTTCTAAAAATGTTGACTGTTGTCCACAGCCCATAGGGTTAACTTTGGCCTTGTAGCCAACGTCCCACCTGCTGAATTTCTGGAGCCGCTGGTACAGCTCCTAATGCGTCAAATCCCATCAAGTAACCAAGAGACTGCGAACCTCTCCGGTGGTCTGCCGAATAGTACACATATTCCTCTTGCAGCCCAGATGCAGTCTACATACTTCGCCAATTTAGCGTGGTGGCGTCGTGAGGTACGACATCACTGTTTACAACTGCTTTCATTTCTACTGAACCCGCAAGGCGGACAAAGTGAGTAAAACAAAACCGTTTGACGTGCGTAACTGTTGTGTGATCCACTTATTTGTCTATCGCTATTTACTACAAAGGCTTTGTGTGGTTGACTTAAGACGGCGTATGTTCGTAGATGAACAACGGGACAGTCTTAATAGAAATCTTATAGAGATTATGATATCTTACTTCCCATTTCTCACCAATCTGACAAAGTTACTGCGAACTGTTTCGAAGAAAGACGGAATCGAGCGCCCCAGCAGTAATTCCGGTTTTCAGTACGAGGGCAATGTCATCGTGCGAAAACAACCGTCGTATCATTCTGGTAACCATAGCGTCCAAGGTGCCCTCTACATAGGTTGACCGAATACCGACAGAGGCCAGCTCATTAGAACTAGTGAGGGTTTCCCTTTGGCCGACGGTGCACTGCAGTAGTGTTACCCACACTGGTCTATGGAACATAAGCATCACCTGTTCGCACAGAAGATATACGGTGAATTCCGTTTTTTGTTGTCCGCCTGTGCCTCTGATGCGCTGCTCAGGTCCTGAGGCAGCATCGGATCAATAATGTTTAGCTATGCTGTGTATTTTTTAGAGTATAATTTACCTGCAATGGATGGACTACTTAAACTATGCTGGTTTGGTTCATACGTCTCACGTCAGAGTACCTCCTGCGTGACATGACTTTTTGTCCATACATTTACTGCGTCAACATGGCACGTAAAAGTCGTGATCGGTAAACTGAGACAGGCTGATAACTGTCGTCTCCAGCTAATGGTGCCCCTGAATCAAGGCTCTGTTTCCATAGGTAGCTGCCCTACCTCCATCTTAATGAAAACAGTGAACTGTGCAGGCGCTTGCCTCTAGTACCTGACATTGTCGTGTTATTCTATTCGAAGGAGACCAAATCAGTAGCATATGGAACCGTCGTGTCTTTTTTTAATACGTTGGATAGCGGAACAACTGAATTTAGCTGAACTCTACATAGATACTGGATGATGCTACCTGAAAACAGTTGCTTCAGCGAGTCTCAAAAGGGTGTTCCAACGTAACTGGTTTACGCTAGTTATATTAGCCAGTTGTGTAAGTATGACTTGTGTTCATCCTATGTTTTAGGAAGAGAAGTGTAGCTCGTCTTTCATTAAACTCGGTTAACTTAACAATAAGAAATGGCCAACTAACACTAGCCATTATAATCCATTAAATTGGTACTAATTCTATAAGGTCACGATTCGAAACGAGAATAGTCACTGTGCGGTGGTGGCTGCTTAAGGTAGGTTGCATATTCGGCAAAATCCAATTTGGAAACCAGTGGCTTCACTGTACACGGAAACCGCTCAGGTAAGCGATACCTACGGCGAGAAACGGTATTTCCAATACACGAGATGTGTTTTTCACACAGGTCTGTGCATGTGTCCAGAAAATAGATTACTCAATGTCAGTATCCAACGTACGTAAGACCAAATCTTCTTTGCTTTTTATTGGACTTTGAACAGCACTTATCCTCAGAAACTTTTCAACATTTACTTTGTTGGTTACTGTTGTGATCGCATGCACTGCTAATAAAAGTATGGTATGGACAAAGCATGCTGCATTCCACATTATTGGAGATGTATAACAGGCCTATCATGATTCTAATTAACCGTTTTCAGTATTCCTGGGTCTTCACAACAGACATTACTGTTATTCGTGGCTCCAGTAAATTAGAGAGTTCTCTCAGCCCGTCTACACTTCCACTGTCACTGAGTTCTGTTCTGTAGCCCCGGTCGATACACTCCATCATCTTAATAAATCGGGACTGCATACCCAAAAGATAGTTTGAACGCATCTATTTGGGATACAAGCCCAGGGAGCTCAGATTTCACGCATAGGCCTACATGCATTTCTGTCGCGTCAACATAGACACGGAATTCCTCAATTTAGCTGATTCTGGGAGACGAAAAACTAGCAGCCATTGGATAACAGCGGCCGGAAACGAAGTGGATCGATTTAAGCGTTAGTAGTTGTCGACATTTGATCTCAGTTTTACAGGTGATGCCCATTCAAGCTGACGGCACACCATTCAGATTGGGGTTATCGCAACGGTCTTTGGAGAGGTTTCTCATGGAGCAAACACCGAACTAGACTAACGCGACGCCATACCGGAATGCTCCTTGCCATCCAAGGACTTTTTTATTGCGAATGTAGACTGAACACAAATTTAGCGAAATGAACGCATAACCATCTTTTTTGGCTCACTCTTTTTTGGTCTTCAGCACACAAATATGGCGGATTTCTCGGAGTAGAGGATTGATGGACTTATTGAGTTAAAAAGACAATATGCCGTTTCATTGACAAAATTTCATCATTATTTTTAATGCGTCACGCTTAATTGGCAAGGACTTGTGGACTGGAGTGTTGGCTGAGTGTTGGCTGGAGTCTTGGCCCTAATGCTAATTGCATTAGGAGTTTTGTAGACTAACTGAAGTTGGCTTTGGAAAAAGAATGTTAAAATTTGATGCATTTGCTCGCCTAGTCAGAAACATGGTTTTGCGACACTCCGAAGCAACCGAGAGTGATGTGAAAGCAAACTCTACGGTTTAGGCAAGTATCCACAGCTTATCGAGTTATAAGTTCGTAACAAAACTATGCTACTTTCGACTTTGCCAGTAGCTGTAATTGCGGCAACAGTCCTAGTGTTTCAACTATCGGAATTGTGGGTCCGTGAATGAAGTCCTTACTATCGCGGCATTTTTGGCACACTATCGTCTAACACAATATTGACATCATTGGATCCCGGAAAAAGCTTGATTATAACTCATCTATTTATTATTCAACGATATTCTTTAAACTTTAAGTCCGCGAGCAGATATCATATTCGTTCTTTTGTGAAGCGGTACGATGGCGTGATTGGTATGAAGATACTGGGCACTTGGCCTCTTGGTTCACTATTTCGTTCTGTTTAAAACTGGGCTGTATGCCTTCCGGCAGATCTACCCAGTTTGAAATTCCGATTAGATGTGTACTTTGATAACGCCCGAACTCATGACGTGGTGATTATTACATCCTTGATGAAGGCCGATAACCATCCAATGATGTTTGCTTATCTGATTACGTCAGAAAGTTATTGGACGAACACTCAAACCAAATCAAAATGTCCCGTGTGCAGAGTGCGCGTGCCCCTCTTGTAAGTAGTCTGATGTCTTAACCAAAGGGTCACGTTTCTTGTCTCTTTTCATCCACCTGATGATTCGCAGTTCGAAGGGAAATCCCCTTGAAATTAAAGTAATTAATTAATTAAATTAACTCGGATAGAAGTAAACAGTCGAATATGGTGTTGGCTTATCTATGAATACTTGTTTTTGCCTGATGAATCTAGCGCTCACGCGCCAATGCAAAATAATGATCGTATCGTGCGCTACGAGGCACATTTTTTCCAGCGTAACCGAGGAGAAAAGCCTGTAAAGTCCTAATGACAGTGTACCACTGTCACTACTGTATCATACAAGAGAGCCTCCAGTAATTATTTCATATTACCAGTCTAGGCAGAGGTTTGTGATACGCAGTAGTGTTTCCAAACGGTTTGGAAATTTCCTGCTTAATTTCTAACTAAGGTCACTGCTCACAGTACTCACGTATTTTTGGTACACAGTAAGGCATTTGTGTGCTGCATCCTGCCCTGAACGAGGCGGTCATCGGAACAAACGAGGCCAGACATAGGACCGGTCTGACAATCTAAGCGAACACAGATATATGGATTTAGTGTAATGTAAACGGCGATTACTTCTATGCGGACGTGTAGTTTTGTCCGGCACTGTCTTGTTCTGTCTTTCTAGGTTCAGGTCTCCCAAACGAACAGCTACACTGTTACTCATTGGTGTGTTTTATTGAGAGTTCCCACAGTATATATCCAGGGGACCAATCATCACTGGTGCTTGATATCATGTTTTCCATTCGACTGTCTGGTCCTCAGAGGCATCCAGTAGTAGTAACTCTTCCTTGTCACTTTTCTATGTTTTTAACCATTTTCTTTCTAGATCTTTGTGCGTCGAAAATCAATCAGTCCTCTGACAGCGAGGGATGTATGACATACCTATTGCATCACCTCTTGACCCCCGTGGTCGTCACCGATTTGTTGAAGGCGCTGCTTGAGACTGCCATCAACAGTGCAGGGGTCGTAGAAACCTTGCCCGTGAGTCAAACCTCACTGGAATCCCGTGGCTTCCGAAAGCATCAAACTGTTTTGCCGTCGTATCAGCCACAAAAAGACAGTAGAGCTGGAGTTGCTGGAATAATAGAAGTTAGTGGTCAAAATGGACGGACGCTTTTGTTTCAAGACGTAGAGGTAGGCAGTTAACCTCCGTTGGATTGCATTATTCTAACTTATGTATGATTTAGGATTATTATTATGTCTTAGGATTGTTCTCAGGTGTCACTGTTTTCCAGAATACATCACTGGAGGACGAACATTTGCCCGTGATCTTATACTACACTTAGTTCGACAGCAATCTTTCCTTGCAATGTCCTTTACACTCAGATTGAATATATAGTTGGTGTTGTTGGTGCTTCAATATCAATTTTTTTGAAATTACAAATTTCGGAATTCATTTGCTTTTATTTTACTAGCGTTTTCTTAGTCCTTATGAGGAAAATATTCTGCTCCGACAACTATCTATCCTTCCTACCCGTTTTTTCATTTGTCTGACCTTTTAAATAACAGCTTGTGACATCTGGATTTCTGACATTTTTTCGTCCTGTTGCTCTCCTGCAGGTGGCTGTCCAAAGCATTCGGCTTCTGTTTCAATGTGTAATGGCGTATCCGGATAAGTTCCTAGAACCCTTCCTCAATTTGGATCGATTAGAAGAAAAATTGTTTCGACTTCTTGTTTGTTCATCTGCTGCCAGGTTAGTGACGTTTTTGGCACTATCAGTTATTTCTGTTTCATACTTTATCGCAGTGGTTGCTTTGAGTATGGAGTGACTTTTCCGATAACTTGTACAGTGTTAGCGCTCAGTTATTTCCTTGAGCAGACTGAAACAACCGTCGTTCTTAGCATAACACACTAAGCAGAAGGTTGCTGAAAACTACAACAGCCCACCAACCCTTCCATTCTCCTTGAAGCTGTAGTTAAATGTAATCCTTGTTTCTTTCAAGTCATTATGATATCGCGGAAATCTTGCCAACTGTAGCTTCAGGCATATTAATTTACCCAATATCATTAAAGAGAAATTCATTACAGTTTCCTTACCCAGTGTGATTCGCAAATGAGTGTATTTGACTATCGCTGGTGCCGTCTGTACTTCATAAAACTGTATAAAAGGCATTGTTGTCGTGGTGCTCTGTAGGATCTGTTGTACCTCGCTCCTTTGGAGGTCAAAATATCCTTTTTTCTACCATTATCACCCTCAGCTGAGTGTTTGTAAGCTCTAGTCCTCCTTTTATATCACGATCTATAATGTTTCTGTGAGCCTAGAAATATTCACTATAGGTGAGGAAGTTCATTCAAGGCGCTACGTATAGACAAGTGTAAAATGATTGCGGAAAAACATCATTAAAGAATGAAACTGAAGCATTTTGTCATATGTCATGGGTAAAGCTGTTCAGTCTAGGGCCTAAGGAGCTACGCTTCATCTGTGTACTCATCTAACGAATGGCATGCTTTGATACTTCCTCTTACTCCCCACACGATGATTGGTTTCTTAAGTTCGAGAGTTGGACTCCAGGAAACTCGCCATCAAGAAATTCCATGTTGGTACGCTATGAGGAAACTGATGATGACTTCAGTATTGGATACCGTCTTCCACCCATTATTCTGACGTACCTAAATTCAGTGAACCCATTCCAGATGCTATCGAAAGCCGTGATTTTACCCAAGATTGCAACACTGAACCATCAGCAACTACATGCCGTTGATTGAAATAATCTTAAGAGCGCCCTTTTCTCATCGTTTTGTCCTCGGCAGACATACAAACAGTGAAAGAACTATGCAAGCCAGTATCTAAAGTCATTTCTGCTTGTTGTCCCAGGTCAGACTCATGTTTTTGCGGCTCATCTGATTGTCGTATCCCTATCTTTACGACAGAAACCGATCAGCTACCAGTATCCATCGTGAAGCAACAAATTTTGATGTATATCTCTTATTCTTTTCTCCACAGAATTCGTGCGGAGACAGCTCGACAGTTGGAGCACCTAAGTCTCCTGTCCTCGTGTTATCTTCGCTTTGGTGAACCATGTGTGAGGGTTCTGGACGTGCCCTCATCGGATCATTCAGCCGCACAGGTGGTCACTTGCCAACTTCATACACGCATCAACTATCCGCACCTCTTGCACTTTCTCCTGCGTACGTTATGCCAAGCCCGCTTACCATTCTACACGACACATATTGGTCTTCAATCTGCAAACATACAGTCTTTGTTGGCCAACTCATCCGAATATTTCCGCGTTAGGGCTTTCTTGCTGGGACAGACACCCGACTCACTGCTTAAACGCTGGTTCAAAACCAGTCATACGACTATTTTACAGGTAGGTTCTGTATTGCATCCGCTCATTATCCCTGATTAAGCAAAGCTAATTAACCTGATTGGTGATACAACCGTTAACTTGTGTCACTTCCGCTGTTTTAGGAAGAGTTCAGTTCGTTTCGAAACGTGATCGATGTGGACGCAAATTTCAGCAAGAACACTCGCCAACTTGCCGACTGTTTACTTTCTGGACACTTGGAGTCAGCCAGGGTCCTTTGCGCCCAAGCTGTAGCCTGTGTGATGAGCCATTCAGGGTGTGCTCTGTCTGGCATGACTACAGCCTCCTCACTTAGTTTCGATGTACATGGAAAAATATCTTGCCCAACCATGTACTCCGGAGTTGATCACCGGCGGGTCAGTGTTCCGACGGTTTTGATGGAAGCGCTAGCCCCCGTTGGCAGAGAATATCCGCATTTGGAAAGTCCAGCTGGAGTAAGTGACGACGAAGGGGCGCAATCTGATGAATCTGTCTCATGCAAAATGGGATCCTCACTTGAAGGGTCGGTCTTGTCTGATTCCAGTTTCCCAATTTCGAGCAAGATTGCCCTCAAAATATCATCCCGTTGCCTTCATCTAGCTAGAGAATTCCTCTACTACCTAATCACAGAGTGTCTATTTCCAGCTGCGGCTCATCTGCTCCAAACACATCCATCCAGCCTTATAACCTCCACTGTAACATCCAGTCTCGAGGCTTATTTGTCCTCGTTTCGAGCTTTAGAACCCATGTCACTTCGGACTACCACCGATTTGCATATACCAAACTCGAGCGGCTCGTTTCGACGGTCTCGTACCAACGTACAAACTGCCAAATTGCTGGAGAATGTTGGTCCTCTGACCAGAAGGACTGCGTTCAATTTTCTCATATTCGTCTCAAGAATGGATGTTTACAGCTTAGAACGGGTAGGTCGTGTGCCTTTCTTGCAGCCACACCACTGCACTTTCATAATGCAGTTCTTTGTGTGATGTGCCTATGGGTCACCTGTTTTCACCTCCAATGCATCTGAGGTTTTGTCTTTCTCCAATAAGTAACGCTGAAATGAGTAATTTTTACTCCGATGAATAAATTTAGACTTCATAATTGCTGACTGTAGTCTCCTTCCATATGTAATTTTGTAAGCAAGGTTGAAGCTATAACTTAGACGATACATATAGAGAACACAGCTCTTAGTTGTCTGATTTTAAATTGACTGTCTCCTGAGATAGGATGATTCAGCCAGTATATTGTGAGCGTGATGACCGTGATATGGGGAATTTTCAACTGAATTTTTATGGGAATAGCAGAACCTAGAAATTAAGGATGCTAGCACTAGGGTTTTGATACATCAATTAGAGAGAATTCCGATGCAACCCAGCTGATAAGGTCAAATGTGGATTCATTCATTAACCGTAATGCGGTCCGGTTTTTTGTCAGTTGAGCACGAATACAATGCTCTTTCTACAGGTGAGTATTGATTAAACAACGAGGTGAAGAGCAGGTATGTTTCAAACAACTCGATGTTCCTAACACAGTGGATGACCTCTTTGCGGAGCAAAATAATCAGAATCGCTTTTGTCAGAAGAAACCGGGTTTGGTCAACGCCCAACAGACTGTTTGGTTGGTCGGTTTGACAATCACGTCTGTGTGGTTTGAAGCTCAGGTCAGCTGTAGTTTGAACAAAGTTGTCTAACCACACAATTCATTTGAACTAATCGTAGTTTCGACCGATTCAGACAGGTTGTGCGAATTTCCAAAGCTTCCCCATGTCACCCTTCCACTTTAATTGTTATGCTCCTGTTTATCGACTGAGCCTGTTCACATGAAATTGCGGTTTTCGTCAAGGCGTGTAGAGTCCTGAAGGATTATGAGACGGAAAGCGTGCATTTCTTTTGCGTTGTACAGCGTCCTGCTCATCACATATACGTAGGTGCATTGGAATCCCTACAACAGGTTCTATATACCAGGTATTGTTAGGGTTTTTAGGGTATATCGAGTGTCTGTTAACGGTGTCGTCAATTATGAAGACTGCATGTTTTAATCGTGATGAATTCCCACGAGTTCGCTTCGCCTTTCGTGCACAGTGGGCGATAAGGGAACACACTTCTCGGCGAACTTGTTTGTACAGCATCCGTCTCTTCTAATTGAAAAAATCCATCAACGAGACACTGCACTTCCCTTTTTGGGGCTAGTTGACCTGCATTTCTGGAATGCCTGTTGCGTATGATAGTCGCCTATCAATGACTCCAAAATAAATTATTGAAACACTGAACCTCCCGCTTGACGTGTTCACTACCTTTGTTCTGCTTATTGAAAAAACTCGTGCTCGGTTTCGCTCTGCCTTCTATACATTGTTTCACATAACTGTCATTTAACGGCTGAACGCACGTCGACTTATCATTGTATTTTTTTGTGACGGATGGATCGAATCCTGATCAAATTAGTTCATATCACGACCTTCAAGCCGGAAGACGGACAAACATTTATAGGTACGGATTCACATAAAAAAATGTACGGTCGTAAATATGACCATTGTGTATCATCTCGTCAGTGTTGAGCTTAGTAGTCGACTAAACCCGGTCCGTAACGCTCCAAAAGTATCCGTCTCACGGTATCATTCGAATTTCCCATTGGACCTGCTAATAAACACAAATGAGTTCGGCCGCTGCAACTCAGGTTGCAAAAAATACTCAAACAGCGGCATCTTGCTTCGTATGCGCACCGGCGCTATGGGCTCTAAAATACAGGCTCGTTGTGATAAAGTAATTTAAAAATTACATCAATTTACTGGCCGTAAGTCAGTTGCTCACAGTAACCAGCAAGAACGTCGACCTAACACTTCACACTAACTTAGTGTTCATTGAAAGAGGTTTTATTGTTTTCCCGTAAGCCGTCGAATCCGGTTAACTTCAGTTTCAAGGGCGATGTTGCCCAGCCATAAATCCATCGATCGCGCTTTTTGCAGTTGTGAAGAGCATTTCGTGCGGTAAAAGTTTCGGTTAATTCTGCTCAACTTTGTAACTGACCGCATAGAAAGCAAGATTGGTGAGGATTTTTCTGCCTCATGATTATGCTACCGTCAAGGGGTGAACTTCTTAGCCTGAAACGTTGTTCATCCAGATAAGCCATTGAAGACCTGCAGAAAGCAGGATTTGTTTCACCTGAGGATGACGATCGGAATGATCGTTTAGAGATGATAGAATGCCCAAGGCACTTTTTAGTTAAACGATATTTTACACTAGTCGAGAAGTAGAGCTAATTGACCTTGACCTTAGTGGAGTGACTTCGGGTAGAATAAACCAGTTCGTGGCTATTTTTCAGGAGAAAAAATTTGGGGAGCACAATGAGTACTGATCGAACAATTTTCAGTGTCTTTGGATTACGTCTCCCTTCACGTTAATAGTGATTAGTTTTACGTTTAACTGCGGTTTCTCGTCAAAATATTGATTTCTACGGTTCTGTGTCTCTATCCGTTCAGAATCCCCCTGATATTTTGGATTGTTTATTTATCCCCCGATTACCACTCACTAGTCTATGGGATCTGTTACACTACAACATTGTAGCTAACTAATTGTTCTTGTTTCACTAGTTCCCCTTATTATATTCGGGGCATGTCGCGGTGCGACTTTTCAACTAAATGTGTTAGTGGTATAGCACTTGATGTGTGTATTGTACTGGACATCTAATCACAGTGCCTATATCATGCGTATGTGTATGCATTATGGGTTTCAAATGCAGGAGACACGCACGGGTCTCATCCAGTGATTTTCGATGCCACCCAAAAACTTTTGCACGCATTTCATTTACTGGAATTCACGTTCCACCTTCTATTTCACCCAGGTGGTTGATTTGCTGATATTATTGCATCACAGTCGAGACCCCGCCAGAACCCCCACTTTGTCTGCCACCTGCTCAACTGGACCATCTAGTGCAAAGCATACACCAGAAAATATGTCTGCCCGCAACTCTCCCAAAGTTTCCACAGTATTCCCGGTGGATCAGCTTTGCCCGGGAAATCGCACCATTTTGGTTTGTTATTTTTCTGTATTTGACATCTTAGCGTAATTCCGTATTTTAACTCTTCACCCACTGTCCCTGTATGCGATAAAGTCGTTGGGGCTAGGTCTGCGATCGGCCTTCTCTCTTAAGTGCCGTCAAGACCTTACTGATCATCTCAGTTTACATAACTGGTATGTTTACTTTCTTAAAACCGGCTTTTTGGGGTCTTACGATCTCGGTGGTTCGATAATTAACTGTGTGTTTACGTGGAGACCATCCCACGAAATCTGGATGCCTCGTTCATCGTTTGCGGTCACTCATCGCCGCGTACAATCTTTCCTCATGCCCCAGTCTGGTTCCAGAAAAACCCGACTCGTTGACCTCGATATTGTGCATGACCGAATGTGCGAGCTTTTGGCTGGGGAATTTCACAGTTCAAGTCCTTTTCTGGCTTGTTTATAGCTAGATTCGCTTGTTTCCAAACATCTCCATGGCAGCTGTGCAGGATGGAACTCCACGACGAAACCATATGGCATGCTGCAATCGAGATGTTTCCACAAAAGCAGTATTTGGTGGTTGGTGCCGTTGTAATTTTCTTTCGTCGCACACACCGTCAGTGCAACTCAAGCCGAAGGGTAGATTACGTGTATATGCCCCAGATTTTCTTTCCTACAATAGTAGCCTGGTGTAACCAGTTGATTATCGTCTTTTACCTTAGGGGATGGAGTAGGACAGTGCAATTAAAACCAATGTCAAATTTGTACACCTCTGAAACTGGCCATGTGCTTGTTCTACCAATAGGAAGTTCCAGCCGCTCAGTACATGTCTAGTAGGCTTTGCCTACCGATTGTTATCCATCGAGTACGTTCTGGGTTCAGACTAACCAATTTTTTTGTAATCTACTCATTCTGTCAAATCCGTCCGAATCTTTTGGATGAAGAAACCGTCTGCTAATCATTTGATCAAACCATCAATTCACCTGCGGCATTCCAAGATGGGTATTGCTAATAGTCCTGTGCAGGAACGAATCACCAATAAAGTGCCCGGTTTTGGTGGTCTTCGTACACTGCGGGTTCTCTAATGAATGTCGTTATTTGTGTTGAATATTTCCACCTTATTTAAGAAAACAGGTATACCAACGGTCATTTCCAGTTGTGTCTCATTGAGTAAATACTTCAATAAATTATTCAACAGACTCAAAGCTTGAAACTACCCCCTGGTTATTAGGTAACTCTACTGTTACTTGAGCTTTGTAATCAATATTCAATTTACAAAGAGTGGAGTCGACATTTCCCATTATATGCCATAAATTCCACTTGCTGTTTGTTTTCTTTTGTTCAGTTGCCTCCAGACATAGTTTGGGATGTTCAACCTGCATTGACGGGCCGTTCGGAGAGCGGTTTTGTCGGTCTTCGAAACGGCGGTGCCACGTGTTACATGAATGCCGTGCTTCAACAGCTGTTTATGCAGCCGGGTTTACCAGAAGCTGTTTTGGCTATCACAGACACAGACAATCTAGAAGAAGATAATATACTGCTTCAGACACAACGTGTAAGTGCTTTTCAGAAATGGTGTGGCATGTCGTAGCTCTGAAGTACCTTTGCAGTCTTTCAATGGAAAACACCCTCTTATCTTTGATGAGTATGGTTTTCAAGACGGCCGGTCCTTGGGCATGACCTCAGTGTTTTCTGTCTATAGGTATCGTATTTCGTGGATGTATTGACTTCTCGAACATCGCCACACCTCTCCTTTTCAACTTCATAATCTAAGTACTTATCGAAGAAACGCTCTGAACCTGGCGTATAGTCTCCGACAATGGAGACCTTAATGACTTTGGGTATGCGGACGGCATTGCACTACTTGGTTCATATCCCATGTAGATACAAAATGCGCTAAATAATCGAATTAGTGCTGCCGTATGTCTTGTACTTTTCGCACCTTCAAAGTTCAATGTGTGCAAGACTGGACGAGTGAGCCACCAAAACTGGTCATGGAATCGGACTATCTAGAGATAGCTGACAGTTTTACCGATCAGGATAGTTGCATCACGTCGGATAGCAGCAGTACCGGCGGAGTGAACGCTGTGGTCCGTTCTTTTTTCTTCACCTCAGGCACGCCCAGCCTGTCGGTGAAAGGCAGGATGTACAACACCGCGGTGCGACCAGTGTTTACTTTATGGTTGTGCATTTAAGACTAGAGAATATTGCTTGCCGTTGACCATCGGCGTCTTCGAAGCACCCATAGGTATCATGGGGACATCGGATCCGCATTGCTTAAGCGCCACCATGCATACCGACTGCCTGTCCAATAAACGAATCACTCGGGTTGCAACAATTACGCTGGCTGGCCATATGTTCTGTACGCCGGGTGATCAATCGCTTCGCTGTGTTCTGTTTGCTGACGCTTTCACATTCCGATTGGGAAATTCCATAAGGTAGACAGTGAGTTACCTGGAGACCAAGCGTAGCGAAAATGCCCTTGGCTTGGCCTGTGGGTCCGCAGGTTTTGGGTATCGAAGACCAGCCACATCAATGCCTAGAGGTGCACACTGTCAGTGATCTCCGTTTCGGGATTCCTGTGCTATTTTCGTGCTTCGTTTATTATGGCGCGTTACAAGTAATCTAACAGGTGACTAGAAGTTCCCGCTGGAAAGTTACGATTATGTATAACATTGCAATGTAGGTTTCCCGCTTCTCCCTCTTATGTACACGAATATTTAATGAAAGGGACAGTATGTTTTTCGCAAACGTAAGATATCACGTGATAACATCCACTTTTGATTTTCCATCCACTGACAGTTGTTTGGTCATTTGCTGGAGTCGCAGCTGGAATATTATGACCCAGTCGGGTTTTGGAAAAGCTTTCGTCCGTGGGATACCAGCGAGGCTCTGAATCCCCACGAACAACAGGACGCTTTCGACTTTTTCCAGGCGCTTATAGATCAATTGGATGAAGAACTTAGAGTAAGTAACTTCGAGATTAGATGATTTGTTCACTCAATTTCCTTACCATATTTGTCGAACTGCCTATAGGCTCCAATAACTGTAAATCAGCAAAGATGGAAACGCTCTGATGACTATTTTGGTACAAGTTGGCTTATTATTCACCCTTGTGAACACTCTACAGGAGTCGTTCAATCCGATTCCCTATTTTTTGGCCCAGAAAAACGCTTGTGCACTGTGGTCCATCCTTTGTTTGCAAGCAACTTTCCGTGTCATCCCCATGTGGTGAGTGCCATTTCGTCACTTATTTTGAAGGGAAAACACCCTATTTTGAAAATGAGATTAATGCTTTCATTCGGAAGGTCAAAGCCTTCGGTAATCCCAATCGATACTGCTACTTGATTAGTCCAACTCCGCATGCCACTTTTTACACGATGTGTTAGGCACTTATCCTTCCGGGGTGATGCTTACATTCCAACTCATCGCCACGGTCATCATTTAAATCTCATACAATTATCGAATAAGGTGACTAAAAAGGCTCAAGATATCTCAGTGTTTACGGTGTTGGGCCAGAAGATCTGTGGTTCGAACCCAAACTCAGCTTCTCGACTGTTCCTATCTAGGCTTGCCCAACCTAGTAGTATCCCACCCCTCGTGTCTCCGTCCGTTGGCATGGCAACTAGGCGCCAAAAGGATGCTACAGTTGATCTAGTTGACTAAAAACAAAATCTATCTTCCGAATTATTGAAATAGCAACATATTGAAGTAATATGTCCAGGATTCCGTAATCACATGCACAACAGTCGGTCATTCTCATTGCCTTTCCCTAAAGAAACTCAGAAAAGAACCGTTCTTCCAAGCGATCTATCAGGGAATTTTTCTGGACTCAAAGTTTTGTGATGAATGTGAACATCGGTGAGTTGGTTGTTCTTGGATGCATTCCTTTGATATTCTTGGAATTACAGATTATTTTATCATTCTTACTTTAAACTTGCATGTTTAGATGTGTGCTCTGATTCCGACTAATACAGTACCTTGCGATTTCCGCCTAGATACGATCGGGAGGAAGTGTTCAGCGCAATCAATTTGGCTGTCAAGACTCATGATCTTCAGGAGGCACTGAACCAGTTTTTCCGCGGTGAAGTTCTGGACGGGGATAATTCCTACTACTGTGAGCGATGTCATGTGAAACGCCGAACCGTGAAACGGTTATCGGTACATACACTCCCCCCAGTTCTCTGTCTTCATCTAAAGCGCTTCGATTTCGATTGGGATCGTCAGGTGCCTGTGAAATTTTCTGACCACTTCACTTTCCCACGTCAACTAGATATGGGACCTTACTTGTCCCACTCTGCACAGGTAATGGGTGTTTCGTTTTACTGTTGAGTCTTTATCATATTCACCAGTGTTCTCGGGTGCCGTTTTGCATGCTTCAGGTTCACTAGGTTTACTTTACATTGGCTCCTCAAAAGAAGATATTGACTTTTTTTAGCCAGAGCAATTTGGTTTGACAACTATGAGATATGTATGCGTATACAGTGCCTCAGGTTAACCTGTCACGTAGCAGCGGATAGTGTAGTCAGAAAGGGGACCTGCATAAAAATGAACAGAATTTACCGTGCTGATGAGTACCTCCAACCTGGATTGATATTGCGAGTTTCTTCTATCCAAACGTCGAAAAAGACATACTTGACTACAGCTAAACTTCGCTGTTGTATTTTATGCTTCGTGTACCTTGTACTATCTTCTAGACAGAATGTGTTCCGACAGAGAGCATGATGGGGTTGTCGATCATCTGATATACGAAGTACATCATTGGGTCGGTGTAGTTGGCGCAGTTTAATCAGGCTATCAATCAGATAAACAGTTGTTTTGTGCCCCAAACCGTGTATCACAGCATAGTTCTACTTATCTGGTTTTACCGTGATACGCATGTGATAAATCGGAGACATTGGTGGTCCAACACTAGTGTTGTTATGTCTTCTGCGCACAGTGGCAAGGCTATACAATCATAAAATAGTGTGCACACTGCTGCGTTATGAACTGTCTTTTGCTGAAAAGCTGGTGTCACGTCACCTTCATCGAGTATCGGAGGAGGGAAGCAGACTTTAACGATTTCGGCGTTCACTTCATCAGAGTTGGTATCCCGATAGGTGAATTTGTCCATTATGTCTAGTGGTTATGCTGACATGACGAGGTGTAGCGATGTACTTGTTTTACAACAACTGTTCATGCTTTATATGTTCAAAGTGCCTGCACAGCCATTTCTTAAAGTTATTTGTTCCATTTTATGAGTACTAACTCAAAGGCTTAGGCATGAACTTACTGATCGGAAGGTCCATGGTTCGAACTCAGCCCTTGCAACTCGACGGCTCCTGTCTAGGATGGGACAGCCTGACAGCATCTCGGCCTTGTTGATTCCTTGGGGTGGTATGGTGCTTGGCACGGAAGGGCTTTACAGCTGAACGATCAAGTGGATGAAGTCTTAATCAACTAGTGTAGTGTTGTCTATATAGAGAACGTTTTTAATGTTCTCACCGATGGTGTGGATTCACACGCCCACTAATGGTGGATTATGAACATGAGAGGTGGTGGTGGTATTAGGAACACCAAAAGGAAAACATTGCCGCGAAACAGCATGATCGATTACGTGGGATGCTGTCTCCACATATGCATATACAGCACTTTTCGAACTTCTATTTGTGTGGTGGTCTCCAAGATTTTGATGAGGTAAGGATGTGATCAACTCATCCATTACGCTGCCTGATTCCCACTACTGTACTTCTTGCGAGCGTCGCTGAGCCTGCGCAGGATAACACGACTCTACACACCATTCTTTTCCGGATTCCTAACTTCGTGGATGCTTTACTGTTCGTTAACACAAATGGACAGTGACCCGCTAAACGCTCTACCCGTTCAGATGAGTTTTTCCTTGATTGGGACTTGAAAGACTTATTCGACAAGGTGCTCCGCTAAAGAAAACTGGAAATAGAACATAGCTGGTACAGACGATGGTAATGGTTGGCCTGTTAGCCCAGTGGATATATTTTTCACTTCATCGCGTACCTGGACAGATGACTTTCGTACGTAAACTATGGTTTCGGCACATCAGCGCGTGCGTTTTAAAGCCAATCGTTTTCCAACAGTTCTGAAGAGGTCAGGAAGCAGCCTAAAATTGGTTCCAAAATTACACTTTGCCCCATCTCAATGGTTTCTATACCTCGACTGAAGCAATATTGCTAGTTCCCGTAGTTGGGTGAATTTGGAACTTAGAGCCCCGTTCTGTGGGAATTTGTGTTCCCGGATTCTTAGAAGTACACATATTTGTGAGTCATCTTGGGTTGACTAACTCATAACCCGAGCTACGTTTCTTGAGCGTAAGAACAGAATGTGTGGATTTATTCCGAAAGTTTGAAGTTTTCCCAACGCGATGAGGCGTAGCCAATTGGTAATATTAGTATACGTTTTAGGTTAAGATCGCTTTGAAGGGCTGGTGGGACTTGCCAGATCTTGATTTACTAGACAATTGTTCACTTTTTGTTCACTTCCTAAACGGTCGAATTTCTGAATGGAGGGTATTTTTGGAATATCAGTTTAAAACAATGCGCCGTTCCAGAACGTACTTGGAGGTCGTTGACATCGCGTACTAAAAGTCGGAATAGAAATCTTTTGACGAATAATTTTCGACCGCTCATTTGGTTTTCCCCTCGGATTGGATATAATTCTACCAGGCTGGTAAAGCCGTTTTTTATGTACAATTTTTGTTAGCTCATTTTTTGTGTCCTTGGCGTATTCGTCTATTGTTGTGCCTAAGCGCTACTTCGTGGTACTGAATATATTTTCTTCTCTGTTTTGAACAGAAACTGCGACCGGAAGCTTTCTTCTCACCTAATTCGTCCACTTCGTCGTTGCTCCAGAGGGAAGCTCGAGTCGGTGCTAGTGCCACACGAAAAAGTCAATTTCATCTATTCGATGTATGTTCTTGCGTTCAGGTTAAGGTTTAGTTTCTGCACTTATAATACAGAAGGGTTCAATATTGGTGCACACATACCACTGAATTCGCGTTTGGATGTATGGATCCTTTCTAGTTATCTCCCCTCAAAATTAACATGGCTTCATCTGTATAAAATTATTTTTTTCTCCAGACCAACCTAAGTATATGGCGTTAACCAAATGTAGACTCCTTCGGACAAAGTACCATCTGTCAGATGACACGTGCCTTCATTGGTGGCCGCCCTGTAGGCTGCGCGGTAACTGAGTTCTTTACTTCTACCACGTTGACTTCCCAGCAGGTCTTGACGTGTTTTTACCGCTTTCAAAGTGGAAGTGTTCGGTCCTGTAAAGGCAGTTTACTGCGTTGGGGCCGTAAGCAGACAGTCTCCTCGGAAGAAGGGTTTCTCTTAAAGAACCTTGTGAACAGATGAAAAATGAATTAAAACATTTTCGGAGAAAATCGCTTTTGCTACTGTCGGTGGTGTATTATTCCACCCGAGTAGCTTTCATTACCTAAAAGATCGACGAGTAAAAAGGTGTGTTCTGATTAAGACGGTCGCAATTTCCGAATGCCTGCTTCCGCGATATTTCAGCGTATATCCCAGCATCGACTTCTGATCTCATCTGTCTGGAGTCATTTAGTGCGTGTGAAAATATAAACTAAATGAATGAGAAGATGTCTTGGAGAATGTTTGTCATGAGTTGCAAAATTAATGGTCATTCATGCCCATGTCAAAAGGTTTGATTGGTCCATTTCGGATTAATCTCGTCGGCGTTGAATGGAACGTTCACAGTCAAAAGGTATCGTGTAACTAACCTTTCCGGCAATCTGATCCCATCTTTCTTATCAACATCTGTTACTTTGTTTTTGACAGACCCTTCAGTAATAGTGATAGTAGTAATATAGACAACCAACCTGGCTACTCAACAGTAGTCCAGTTTTTCCTGAGTTACTCAGCCGCTGGGTGCGACAATTGGTATCATGTCTTCTAAAACTTCCAACATCCGTTACTCGCTAGTAGACTTGAGGCTGTTCCTTGGCTGGAACATCGTACCTGTAGGAATAGGACTGAATCATCAAGGTTAGGTTGTCCCACAAATCTTGAACCCTCCACGCGAAAATAGTTCGTTTTTAAGTACGTATGCACCCATTGGGTGCTGTCTTTAAAACGCGTTTGTCGTTCCGTAGTCGTAAAAGCTAATATACGAGTCGCGATAAGAGCGCCTTAGCGCTCATGTAACCCTGTCGTTAGGTGATCGTCTTCCTAAAGTAAAGTTCAGTGGTAACAGAAGAGCTACAGTACTCTGCTGTCGGTGAATTTACTCAGTATCTTCCATTTGTATGTTTTTGCACTTTAACAACTAATTTTTTGATATCACTGGTTCGTGCGAACTAATCCTATTGACCTAAACACGTGGACAGTTGCTTAACTGATAGGTGACAAATGCAGCCGGATATCCAGCAGTCCTGGATTAGGCTGGAAATACACTCGACTGCAACTCTGGTCTACATTTCATTGTACAACCACACATGTGATCGTACATAGGACAAATTTGGGGAGGGACATCGATGGACGCTGAACTGCGCGGTCAAATGATACTTCCCGGTTGCCCAGGCTGAGGAAGGGGGTTTGGTTGAGGTACCCCACCTTGAGCCTTTAACTCAAAAGTCTGACCCACAAGGCAGTGGGAGAATGTAGGGTTTTCTTTGGGGACCCTGCCCGGAGCCGATAACTCAATAGTCTGACCAGTTCGGCTGCAGGGGGTTGGCCTAACCCGAGGGCGCAGGGAATAAGGCATTACTGTCTCATTCCTGATGCGGCTGCGCACAGCAGGTGCCTTTTGAGCAGCACCGGGCTCTTTGGTTTTAAAAGTACTTCGACCGTATTGGATAATGCGCCGGCGGTCACGGTTAACCGTTGGGCGATCGGAGTGTGCGGTTTTTGGGGCCGACCTTTTCTAACCCGTCCTTCCTCGGGGGAAGGCAGCATCGCTGCTTCCATAAATATGGACATGCTGGTCGCCTGGGG